TGCTTTTCATTTGCAGTTTGTTGCTGCTCTTCATATCATTGTCTAATTTGTTTGGGTAATAAGAGAGAAACCACTGTGTACAACCAGTCATAATGTACACTTAGAAGATGGAAAAAGCTGAGGGACTGTTCAAGGTGAGGCTGGCTGTCCAGTTCACTGGTTTCTGCCGTGTTATGTACTTTCATAGTACTTAGCTTCTACTGTTGATGCTCCATGGGAGAACATCCAAACCACACACTTCACTGTAAAAGAGAAGTTGCTAAAGGATGAGAACTATTGGTCTCAGTGGCCTTGTTCTCCCCAAGCAGAGGTGTGGTTTTTCTCAGCTATTCCTCTCTCTTAACAGGTTTCCAAGCATAATTTTCAGAACATGGGTTCCCTTGAATGCTTCTTTAGCTTGGGGTAATAAATGAAAGATTTCTTTCCCAGAAAATCTGGTATTGGTCTTCCTCGTTGGGGTGCTGAGAGAGTCAGAGTTCTCATGTGGGCACGACAGGAAGAGGAAAGTCATTGGTGTCCAGCTTTCATCTCTGGTGTGAATACTGGATTGCACAGGAAGATCACACAGTTAAACACAGTTAAAACTTTGCTTTCGTGTTGTCTGTCCCTTTCTTAAAAGCCCTCAGTGACTCCTCATTATCGAGAGTGCACAGAAGCTAAGTAAGTGTGAACCCTTCTTCAAGCAAAAAAGTCTCACTGGTTCCCCAGAAAGTAGAAGTTCTTGTTTTCTTGTGTTATCTTGAGCCAGAATGGTTTTTGTTTTCCCTTCCTCTTCACTAAATTCAGCTAGCCCTTTAGCTCCCCAATACCCTCTTTCACTCTACCCGTCATGAATGAAAACTCTTACTTCAACCCAAAAGTAGTTATTGACAATACCTGTCATAATTATATATGACCTTATGATACAGTTTTGGTTTTTTGATACCAGTAGATTGTAAGCTCCTTGAGGACAGAGACCTATTTTTTAATGTATAATGGAAATTTTCTCATGCATAGATACAGTATCATAATCCTTTGTGTACCCATCAGTGATTTATAACCAACCTTGTGTCATTGGTGAGCCCTACCCTGGTAGTGTAGTGGATTATGAGCTGGACTGCTAACCCCAAGATCATTAGTTTGAATCTCTAACTCTGGGCCACTCTGACATGAAGCTTTCTGCGCCCATAAAGATTTAATCTCAGAAACCCTACACAGGGTCACTATGAGTTGGAACTGACTCGACAGCCACCACCAGCACCACCATCACCCTACTCTTGATTTACTTTGAACATGAGGTCAAGGACTGTGTTTTAAATGTCATGGTGTTTTCCAGAGAATCTAGTTCAGTTGAGAATCAAATGCAGTACATGATTGATCAGCGATCATTACAAACCCATATTCTGTACCCAGAAAGGTGAAAATCTTGTTGTATTTGTATCTATTTCATATACTTTCACTGAATGTACAGTTTCATGTTTGTAAATTTTGAATCTGGATCATTATGCACCAAAGTTTCTTTTCATTAATTCTCTTTCCTGTGGCACTAACTTGCCATAGACGGGCATTCCAAAGAAAAAATGTAGAATTCTTTGAATTTGGTTCTTGATGAGCTAGTGGAGAAATGGAATGTGTCTAGACCTGGATATCTACCCAGTAATTGTGCTATATGTTTGACAGCATGTTTGATCTCTGTGAATCATACTTTCTTTGGAAGTGTAGAAAAGGAGAGAAAATTTAGCATTAACTGTAAGTCATTAGGGACCATTTGAAAATAAGTCTATTGGAGAAACTTGTATTAGAAATTTCTGAAATGCAGCATCATGGGTGGGTGCCTCTGTCTTGGATGGTGTTAAAGGGAAGGAGGTATAAGACTTCTAGGAAGTAATGCCAAACAATTAGAATACAAAGTAAATAGAGGTCCTGGATTTTAGGAATGTATTTTGTGTCAAACAGTTTTCTTATTGTAAGTAGATGTGATGATTCCTGTTGTCAGTTGTGAGTAGTACAATAAAATAAAGTACGCCTAGTGACCATGGTACCTTCAGCTTGGAAGCAAGTAGGGATCTGGCTTGTAATAGGACTGAGGAGAAACACTCTATTTTCACATGCTCCTCAATTCCTCAATTCAATCTGGGGATAAGTTTACCACCTCTTAATCTTATATTTTGGGATGTTTTCCAGAGCTCATTGGTGGGGTTGTTTCTTCCTCCATTGAAGTTCTGAGAGAGAATTCACCAATAGTGAGCTAGAGGAAGGTCTTTTCAAGACAGTTTTCCACAGGTATAAAATATTATCTTAGTGATAGGCTTCCAGACCACTGAATAGTTCACTAACTATCTATGTGCTTGTTTGCAAGGACTATGCTAGGGAGTTTTGAGGGTAATTAATTGCACAAAACAGGTTTCTGACCTCTGGAGGACAATCAATCAAATGGTTACACCAAGTTGCAATCTGTTAAGGTCACAAGAAAAATCTGTAGGAAGATTTATGGAACTTTAAGGGGATGAAGGAGTCCTGGTGTGGTGCTGTGGACTACTTTGTCAGACCGCAAAGTCATTTGAACTGCAAGGTCGGTGGTTCAAGCTCACCAGCTGCTCCTTGGAAACCCTATACAGGGTCGCTGTGGGTCGGAATCGACTTGGTGTCACTTAATAACAACAAGAGGATGAAGATGCAGTACACTAGATTGTTACCAGGGAGACCTTTATGGAAGAGGAAACCTTTGAGTTGAGCTGTGGAAAATAAAGAATTGGGGTAGGCAATTTTAGAAGAGTGGGGGAAATTGTTTAGAATTTGATTATCTGGTTCCATGGTTGAAAGGTGAGGCTTTCTGCTCCCGTAAAGATTTACAGCCTTGGAAACCCTATACAAGCTCTCTGTGAGTCGGAACTGACTCCGCGGCACACCGCCACCAACCACTAGTTGCTCTGAAGTGTTCTCAGTCTAGAAGTTTAGTACTTGGTAAGTCTGAATAAATCAATAAGTAACAGCAGATACATCTTTTTTGTAAAATCAGTGTTCAAGGAGGTAGTTATTTTGGTATCAGATATGTTCCCTATGTATCATTGCCCCAGGTTTTCAACCTGCCTCATCCATCTTATTATAAATGTTTTTGTTCAATGATTGGCTTGCAGCTTTGAAACTCAGAGGAATGGACTGGTATTTATCTATGACATGGCTGGTTCTAACTATGCCAACTTTGAGCTGGATCTTGGCAAGAAAGTCCTAAACCTGCTGAAGGTAAGGCTATGGGAAGGTCTTCTCAACTTTCCTTCAGTGTTTAAGATGCTTTTGGTGGGTTTTGTTTGTTTTTCCCCAATTCTTAGGGAAGGAGCTTTAGGAATTGTGTAAACTCCAGACATTATGTTCAATTTCAAGGTCACTTGTAATTGATGACAAATACCAGCTTCTTCAGAACAGGAACTAATCTGGAAAGTGAAGTAGAGTATATAGTACAAAGAATGAACCCGAACGTAAACTGTGGACTGTAGTTAACAACAACGTATTAGTGTTGGTTTATCGACTATAACAAATGTACCACATTAATGAAAGATGTGAATGGGAGAAGTGGTGTGCCAGGGAAGAGGGAGTATTTGGGCACTCTCCTTTCTAAGAGGAGTCCTAGTATGGCGCTGTGGGTTAATGCGCTGGACTGCAAGGTCACTTTGAACCATAAGGTTGGCTGTTCATGCTCATCAGCCACTCCTCAGAAACCCTATACAGGGTTGCTATGGGTCAGAACTGACTCGATGGCACTTAACAGCAACAACATCATAATGGGTATAAAATGGTGTCTGATAGAGTTTGTATTTCTTCTATTAATTAAATTAAGACTCTCTACATAGGCGTCCTGGTGTGGTGCTATAGCGTAAGCATTGAACTGCTAAACTTAACATGAGATCAACTGTTCAAACCCACCAGCTGCTCCTTGGAAACCCTATAAAAGGTCACTGTGTGTTGGAACCAACTCAACTGCACTTAGCACCACCACATAGGGTTTTGGGCCATATATGAGGGAGCTTCAGAAAGTTAGTGGAAAAGTACAATAAAAAGATAATAAAATGTTTTCCATGAACTTTTTTGAAACCCCCTCGTATAACAATTTTTGTTGTTGTTAAGTGCTATCAAGTCGGTTCCAACTCATAGTGACCTGGTATAGGGTTTTTGAGGAGTAGCTGGTGAGTTTGAACTGCCAACCTTGTAGTTCAAAACAACCTTGCAGTCCAGTATTTATCCTACAGCACCACATCAGGACTCTGTTATTGATACTAATTACTTATTAGGTATCCATATCTCTGTTGTTGTTGTTACATGCCATTGAGTCGGTTCTGACTTATAGTGACCCAGTATAGGGTTTCTGAGCAGCAACTGTGGGTTTGAACCAACAACCTTGAGGTTAGCAGTCCTATGCTTATTCTCCAGTGCCACACCAGGATTCCTATATCTATATAGATATTTGCAAAATATGAAACACCTACCATACCTCGTATACACAACCCTTTCTACTCCTTGATAATTCATTGCAGTGGCCACATACAATTCAGGGCACCATACTCAGAATTTAGGGTTTATTGGTGAAGTTAACAGGTTACAGTGCAGGATCAAAAAATGCTCAAGGCATAGTTATTCCAGTCGCTGCTGATAAATGCCCACAGGACACGCCACTCCACCGTAAGCCATAGCCTGCAGGTACTTGGCTCTAGCTCCCATGGGTCAGCAAACCTAGTTTCCCCACTTAAGTGCCTCGATGCACCCCACTCTACAAGCAAGCTTCCTGCCCAAGGTCACTAAGCTTTACTTGCTCCATGGACTGGGAAGCCCACTGCTCTGTCTAGTGCTCTGGTTCTTGCTTCTGCTGCTGCTCCTCCTCTGCCACTCCTCTGTTGTCACTAGGTCGAGGAGGTCAATGCGCAGGGGTCTCGGGGTCCAAAAGACACGGTCCTTTCCTGGCTCTTCTTTGATGGTAGTGAGATCCCCACTCCTGTTTCTGAGATGGTTCATTTTATACCCATGCTAGAGTTTCAAGTGTTTAAATGACAATGAACGCTGATAACATCCACAGCTGAATCCTGTCATCCTAGCACTATCTTCTCCCACCTTCTCTTACCCAGACCCAGCAGGGCAAAAATATTGTTTGGTGGGAGTTACAGACTATAGCTAGAAGAGACAGACATTAAATAACTAACTACATACAATATTGATATTACTATACTGTCTCCTGAGTCCTGGTGTGACACTGTAGATAAGTACTGAGTTGCTAATCACAAGGTCAGCAGTTCAGCTCCACCAGCCACTCCTCAGAAAGTCTATAAGGGTCACTGAGTCGGAACCAACTTGACAGCAACAGCAACAGTCTTCCAGTTTATAGGTTGTCTTTTTGTAATATAAAATTCTTTTGACTAACAGAAGTTCATTTTTTCCCCTAGTTATGAAATGATCCTTTATTGAATATTTTCTTTTCTAGTCCCTAGCTAGTTGGACATTTCACAGCACGACTGTTAATGTCATGTTCTGGTGTGGTGCTGTAGGTTAATGCGTCAGACTGCAAAGCCGTTTGAACTGCAAGGTCAATGGTTCAAGCTCACTAGCTGCTCCTTGGAAACCCTATACAGGGTCGCTATGGGTCGGAATCGACTCAACGGCACTTGACAACAACAAATGATGCCATGAGGGTGGCGGCCATCAGCATTGCAGCCCACAGACTGGACAGGCCCCAGGATCTCTTTAGCAGTCCCACAGAGTTCGCTGGCTAAGGATTGATGCCACATTTGATGGGCAGTGCTGACAGGCTCATCAGAAGTGAGATTTTTCTGTTTCTTTCTGTCTCTCGGTGCTTCCTAGAGGACACCATCTCATTGTGAAGCTGCCTGTACTGAATAACCACTTTCACATTCATCCTTAACTCTTTCTAGACACTGATTGTCTTGGCATTGCCATCACCTAACTTTGTTTGGAGACAAACCCTGAGGGCCAATCTTGGGGAACAGAGCAGAGTTCCCACTGATGCACTTCAGGTATGCAGTTGTGATCTCCTTGGGGTCACACTTGAACAGCATGGTAGAGGTAGCTGGTGTTAGATGAACCCAGGTGCTGGACGACTGAAGAAAGTTGTACCTAGGCCTCTTCTGAGTCAAAAGTCAGAAGTTCTTAAATTTAATATGCTAAAATATATCTATATTTTCTTTTTTGTGTCTTAAGTCCTTTCCTACTCCAAAGTCAGAAAAAAACTTACTATTGTTTTCTTTTAAGAGTTAAAATTTTTGTTTTTGTCATTTAAGATCTTGAACCATTTGGAATTGATTTTTGAATATGGTATAAGATTTAGGAATCTGACTTTTTTCTCCCTATCCGGGCAATATTTTCCTTTCTAGTTTTACATTTTGAATACTCCTTCTTTTCCCCAACTTTAGATTTTCTATTTGTCATTTTAACAAAATCACAATATTCTGATAAGTTAATGTACCATGATATTGTATGTCTAGTCGTATCTGACTCATACTGGCACCATGTGACAGAATAGAACTGTCTCATAGGCTGTAGTATTTTAGGAAGCAGATGGCTAGCCATTTCCCATTGGATGAGTTCAAACTGTCAGACTTAGTTACCAATTGAGTGCTTAATCGGTTGCTACACCAGTCAGTAATAAACCCACTGCCCTCAAGTCAGTTCTGACTCACAGCAACCCTGTGTAGGGTTTACAGGAACAGAAAGCCTCATCTTTTTCGCTCTAAGCAACTGGTGGGGTGAACTACCAACATTACAGTTTGTATGTAGTTCAGGACTTATCCTACAGCACCAGCACCGCCAGGGCTCCTCATTACTATACCATAGAGAATTTCATTAACCACCTTCCAGATTATTCTGTTGGGTTTTTTTCAGGTTTCATACTGTTAATTGTTTTTGCATTTCCTTTCAATTTATTTTATGAAAATATTTCTGAGACTGGGATTATTTAGCTAAAGAGTCTGAGTAAGTCTGTGTCACTTGTATACATCACCAGGTTATCCTACATAAAAGTGGGACAAAATTACAGTCACCAACAAGTATGAGTATATCTGTTTCCTTGAATTATCCAAGAACTGGTCTATTTTCTTATTTTGAATTTTGTTTTCATTTTTTTCCTACTCTGTCTGGACCTTCTGTTGTGATCCCTGTTAGAGTGGTTGGTAGTGGTCGCCTAGCACTATCTAACTCTTCTGGTTTGGTGGAGACCATAGTTTGTGTGGTCCATTAGTTCTTTGGACAAATTGTTTCCATGAGTCTTTGATTTTCTTAACTCTTCTTTGCTCTAGGTGGGAAGAGACCAATAGTTGTATCTTAGATGGCTGCCCACAAGTTTTTCAAGACCTCAGTCACTGTTCACTAAAGTAGGGTGCCTCTGTGAGTCCATTGTCTTAATAGACTACGTTATGACATTTGGCCTGGATGTGTCCCTGAAGACTATGGGGGAACCCTCAAGCTCAGTGACTCAATCTCTTAAGGTGTTCAGTTATGGCTAAGAAGTCTGTAACTTTGTCTCCTATATGCTCTTCTATAAGCATGGATACATTTGCATCACATACAAATACATATGTCAGAAATACCCTCTGCCACACTTATACATACTATGTGTGTGCTTCCATACACCATAACACATCTGTTTAGTGTATAAATCTACTTATATATCCTTTTCCAAAATAGTTTATTATTAACACCATTACAGGATTGTAGATATTTACCATTGTAATATTTACCATTGTTGCTTTTAACTCTCGTGTACCACCCAGCATCTTCCTTTGTCTTGGTCCTATTGTACTGACTACCTCTTTATTGTATATTACCTTTCCCTTCACCCAAGTTAATACATGTCTACTACCTATTTTTTTTTTATTCCTGGTATGATGCTATAGGATCAGCATTGGACTGCAAACCACAGGTTGGTAGTTCAAACATACCAGCCACTTCTTGGAAACCCTATACAGGGTCACTATGCGTCGGAACCAACTTGATGGCACTTAACAACAGTTGTCTGTTTTAGTAATTTGTTCCCTTTCTCCCACTCCCATCCCTGGAAACCATCGAAGGATGCTGCTTTTGGTGTGTAAACTTTTTCTTGATTTTTTTATAACAGTGGTTTCATGTAGGATTTGTCCTTGTGTAATTGACTTATTTCACTCAGTGTATTGAGATATTTCATGAATTCATTGTTATTCTTGAACATTGTGTATATGTATCATAGTTTGTTTATACATCCATCTGTT